TGTTATAGAAAAAGCCAAAAATTGATCAATTAATTTTGAAAGTGATACAAATATTGTAAAAATCCTTAAGAAATCCCTTTTTGAGCTTGTTACAAAAATTGACCCTTCACTTAACCTGTTCCCGATTGTACCACTTCGCGTGTTAGGTCAGGCATATGAAAGCCGCACTTGATTGCCTTGACTTGGTCAATTGCTGTTTGGTATTTAATTTTGTTTATCATTCGCAGAGCTGAAGCATTGCCACACACAACATTGCAAGACAATATTTTATTTGCACGTTTCAGCTATGAATAACCACTAGTTTGTTTGCCACATCGTGGTCAATCTATGTATATATAAAGTGATACGTATTGATATAGCTGACCCGCATGGCAATCGCTACGAGGTCGCAACTGCCAAATGAAACCCAGGAGGACAGCCCTCGGTTGTCAGTTGGTAGCCATATTTATTATTGTAACGAACAACAAAATGGTTCCACAGGATTTGTGTTTCTGTCTATCCACCTGTCAGCTCAAGGCTGTTTAATTAGAGTACGTGAGCTCAAGCACCAATAAGCTGGTGCCTCAAATTTAATGGGAGTCTAACAAATAATTTAATGTTCAACAGTCCACAGGATATTTGATTTTTGGTCATCAATCATCTAAATCAATCAAGCAACAAATTAATTAGACTATTTATAACCACAAGAACACCACAGAAAATGCACACATATTTGTAGAAAAACAATAATGCAGCCACAAAAAAAAACAATTTTCCATTCCAAGCCATCGAATACGAGATACCCTGTATTCTAAAGATTATTGAATGTCATATTCAATATTAAAAGATTAATCCAATTGTAGTTACACAAAATCTGGAACAAAATTGAAATTTAAAATAAATGGTCCGACAAATATGATTGTACAGATTTGGATGTATAAGTATAAAAAAAATCGAACAAAAATCAAGCATACGACATGTGTGTGACACACAAAAGCCAACAAAAACCTGAAAGAGAGAGACAGCAAAAAACAGGAACAACAAAAAAGGCAAAGAAAAACAATCATTTTACTTTAGTGCTGACTTACTGACAAGCAGCATGAAAATTTCCAGTTCAGTGCAGTCTGCTGCTGCTGCTGATGCTGCTGCCTCCCCAAACTGCTGCTGGTATCCCCCATTTTTATTTGCAAAGAAAACATTTATGTAAACTTTATATCATAAGAATTTCATTGTGCATTGCCTGCATGTCTATCTGTCTCTCTGTCTCTCTGTCTGTCTGCATATCTTTATGCTCGAGTTTGTTTTATAACAACTGCAAGAAAACGACATTTGCCAATATGTTGCAGACCGGCAGAGTCCTGCACGGATGCTAGGTTCGTCCTTGTCATCGGGTCGTGTGCCCGTTGCTTGGCCCTATAATTTGTGTGTCATCTATTGAATTGCCAGCTTTTTACTTGCCAGCTTCGTTTATTTGTAGTTTATCACTGACTCGACATTGGCTTCGACTATCTGACAATTTGTGTGTTTTCACCCATTAGTCTCCACTGCTCGCAAACATGCCCATTATTTTCATACAACTCTTTCTAATACTTGTCCCGTTAATAGAATAGAGACGTTTCATTGCACCAATAAATTACTTTTAAATATTATTTGGTCCTATGGTTTTTAGTTGGTTTTAATAATCGGGGAATTGGGTTTTAAATTAATATTAATTTGAAGTAACTTTTAAATTGTTTACCTCTAGAGTCGAAATACTTGTGTACTGCCTATTATTTTTGATGATTCGATTTAATATTTATATTTGATGTAGTCCAAAAAGTATGCCACATATTTTTAAAATGACATTAAATAAATGTAATTATAGTTTTTCATTTTGTATTTTGGGCCTGGCATTATAATGGTTATATTTTTGCTTGCCAGCTGCACTTTAATAGAAAGCTTTAATACCCATTTCCAATTCGATGGACCCTTTCAACTTTTACCTGTGCTTATTTGTGGCCAATGGTAATTCACATAATTCTCATTCCCATTGCTACTTTTTCAATCTGCAAATCTCTTTTGGGCTCATTTCCATAACGGACCACACACAGCTCTTTCGGAAAATTATTTGAGTGTTCTGCGGAAGGATTTCCATAACAAACATCAACCTGGGACAGTTTTTAGCGCACGTTTGCCATTTTCATGTGTACATCCAGACTAAAATATATTGATAAGCCAGTTGTGCCCCAGTTGGCAACGCAAATCAAACCCACCCACAAGGTTCACCCCACTAGGCACAGGGGAGGTTGGGAAACAACCAACAACGAATTCCTGTTGGCTGCAGCCGAAGCTTACATATTTGGCCATTCCACCTGGCCAGGCTTCGTGGCCATGACCAAAACCAACAAAATATGTGGCCAATTATAGGAAAAACAGACGTTTTTACGTGCAGTTTGTTTTCGGTTCGGTTTGCCTCTTTATGGTTGCCTTTATTTTTTTGTTTTGTGGGCCAACTGGCTACTAATTTATGGCTAGAAATGGCTACTGGCTCTTTTTTGGGGTCTATGTTTGTTGTGTCTAATCATTAGCCATTATTCATTTGCGATTCGCTTAATCGCCGCTGGGTTTGCTCCTTTGAAATACTGCACACATGCAACATTTGGTTTGTAGATTAGTTAAAACAAAGTACATGAGTTAAATACCGTTCATCCGGCAAAGAATTAGAATGAGATTTCAAAGCAAATATTTCAAATTAATGTCAAATACAGAATAATATACCAAAAAAGGACCAATCATGCCCAAATAAATTATATATATTTTTTATTAACTTCACCTTCAGCTGTCACTAGACGCTTCACTCGACATAATTGAATGCTTATGATATTTATTGGTATTCCTGATATGCGAAACCCTGAAGCAATACACTTAAAATGTATCAAAGGGGATTTTGGCATATCTGACATAGAGCATAGCGCTTCAGTAAAAAAAAAAATAAATATAAATCTGGCACGTGCGGGATGCGCAAAAAAAAAAAAAAAAGTAAAAGACAAAAGCCCTAAACGCCAAATACTTTTAGCGTGCCATCATGTTAGAGATCCGTTGCTGACAATGACAAATGGCAACGAAGCCTGAACGACTATAAGATATTCTGTAATCAAAACGTTAAAGTTCTAAGGATATAAACATCAAAATAAGTTAGTTTATGAATTAGAAATTATGGGGTTAAATTATTACTACTACTTAAATTGGAATTTTTTAAAATTCTTTTTTTTAGCCAATACCATTAGCTTGAATGTCTTAATAAAATAAAAGCTCGACATGGATTGGTGCGGTTACTAAAGCTTCAACAAAAGAATATATGCCGACTTTAACTTTAAGTTAAGTATTCTTTGAACACATGTTATTTAACGCATAGGGTATAAGTGTAAACAAAAACAATGGCAATGGTGTTGGCATCGCTGGCGGCAGCACGAAAAACTAAAAATCGCATTTTCATGTGTTTTTTTTTTTTTTTTAAAGACGACACTCAAAATGGTAGATGGGGGACGGGGGTAAGGAAGGGGACAGATAGGAACGACAACAACAGCTAAAAAAAAAAAAAAAAAAAAATGTCAAATGTTTTCGCTGGCATTCGTTGTTCGTTCCTTGGCCTTCTTGTCAACGTTGTCGTTATTACTGTTATTGTTGCTGCTGAAGGCAAATATTTGTGCAGCAGGACATATATAAATATATATAAATGTATATACATTGTTGAAAAAAGCAATTTGATTTGAAATTGAAGCTGCTCCACAATAGCAGTCGGCTGGCATGCAAGGTCAGAAATTTGCCTACAAATAAGCCTTATATGCATAAAGTTATAGTATTTACCCTATATAATATATACTATATACTATATTTATATAAATATATATTTTTTTTCAAATGCCAGCCAACTATTTTGATGATGTGTTTATCAACTGTCAAAAGCTGACAATAAGCCAAATGGATTTGAGGTTGGCCAACAACAAAATACTCCAAAAATAGTTCCACAGCATTTGCATTTTTATGTAAATATCTAGCACAAATAAGTTGATGGAGTCCCGGGTCCTTTCCCCCACCCACACGCCCACATCCTTCACGAGCTGCTGCCCACAAAAGAAAAGATAGAAATCCTTCGTGGAAAAAATGTTCAAATTATGCATAATGAAATGGATTTCCATGGGCTGAAGTGATAAGAACACTTTACATTTCTGATTTATTCTCATTTCATAGCAATTTTTCTCTCAACAACAATATACATTTCGGCATGACAGTTTCTTTCAGAGCCTGACGGAAGCAGCCTTTTTAATAAATGCAAATCAAGTCACCAAAAAAGTATACTTCAATTTATTCAGCAAAATAAAAGTAGCCCAATAATAATAGGCAATGAAAATCACGTTATTAAGGGGGAAAAAAACTAGAGTACAAGAAAAATATCAAATATAATGATACTAAGAAACAAATTAGTGCAAAAAACTTAAATTTCCTCAACGAAAAAAGAAAACCCAACGATTTCATAGTATGTCCTTACAAGTTAACAATATTATTAGGTTTATAATATAATTATAAACAGTGTTCAATACTAAATGTGAATTCAAATAAATAAATTATTCAAATGTAAATAAATTGATAAATTCATAATAAACAATATATAAAACGAAATACGTGTTAACAATTAAACAACTTAGATTACAAATCAATATAAACAGAAATCCTAATCAAAATGCTACAAATAGACTTATTTTAAATTACAGAAACACTTCAAGTTTACATTAATAAGAAGTAATTAATCTTCGGACAACTATTCGTTTCTTGATGGCCAGTGAACAGAGTGGAAGCTTGCTGTTAGCAAATTAACAATGGCATTGAAAATCATTTACCTAATTCAAATGTGTTTTCAGCTGTTTGTATGCACACGTATATAATTACATATATAATTACATATATAACTACATATATATTTACTAACGTTTTATGTGTTGGCTAACGCCGAAATGTATGCTAGAGCATAAATTAACACTTACAATTGATGTGCTGGAGTAAAAGAACTTTGCAGGAGTATCCAGAAACCAGATGCCAGGGGCTCAGCTAACTTGACTGCAAAGGATAGGAAACATAGTAAATAAGTAAGCATAAAAATATATATATACGTATGTGTAGATGTATTGAGAGGAAGCCAGTGAAGTCGACTCAATTAGTTTTATTTGCTGTGTTAGGCGCCAAACTGGCAATTGAGTGCGAACCATTCGCAAAAAAAAGTCAATGTTTATTTTCATTGAGACTTGCCAGATATTCCAGATATTTCAAGCGAAATTAACGCACACATTTCTAGAGATCGTTTGTTTGCTTGTCTGTTTGGTTGTTTGTTTATTTGTTTGATTATTTATGGGTCTACTTACGGCCATCGATGGCGGATGTGACAAGTCGCTTAAGCACTTAATTTGTGTGTTGATTTGTGTGGTCTGCACAGCACATCAAAAACATCTCTTAGCTTTGATTTACAACAACACTAATCTTAACACTGTTCAAATACCAATTTAAAAAAGTAGACACTTTGCAGCGAATTGAGCTGAACGAAAGGAGAACGTTTAGCACACAGAATCTTGAGCTTCAAAAGTTGTGTTTCCAAGCTGTTATACTCGATAAGCTGCACTCGCATCGAATTCAAATGCCAAACATAAACATCAACAAGAAAAAACTGCAAAGCTGCATGATAAGAGAATACCCTGTACACAGATCGAGTATCTACCTGAATTTATTCGGCACTAAAGAAAAACTATTTTTAACAAGTGAATTCTAATATGTTTTAACATGTTATCAATTAACCAATAATTAATCCTTAATAATTCTGTTTTAGTAGATACTGTGCATATATATAATACAATAATATTTATAATTCAAACAGAAATATATTTGTTTATAATTCACATAATTTATTAGCAACCATATACCGTTCCATAACAATTTGCAGGGTATGGAAAGTTTCAGTCAAAAGTTGTGGCTACAGAAAAAAAACTAGATGGAAAATTGCACAAGTTTGCGGTGAACGATTTTATCTGCAGCGTGGAAAATCCTTTGCTTTGGCAAAGGTGTTGCCCGCAACCGGAACGCGACAGACGAACGTCAAGAATACCACAGACCGACTCACACACCAACCACCCACCCCAAACAAACCCAACGCAACCCAACACACCCACATCGAGTTTAAGCCTTGCGCATTGTTAACTTGCCGTCTTGTGGCAGGGTATATTGTGTGGCAGTGGTTGGAGGCAACCGATGGTTATGTGTGTCAAGTGGACGCCGCTTGGCTGCATCCACCCAGGGCATTCAGTTCGACTTCGGTCGCCAACATGCCTCAAGAGTTGCCTCTGTCTGTCTGTCTATCTGTCTGTCAGTCAGTCAGTCATTTAGGCTGACACAGACTGTGTGTCATTCATTTAGCTCGTCTTGTGGCAGGTCAAAAGCAAATCGCTAAAGTTAACGCCGCTGCGTGGTAAAGTCCTTGGCTATGGTTTTGAATAAACACAAGACACAAACAAGCAGTTGCCGTAGCTAGCGACCATGTTTTGAATATGATTTAATTACTGCTAATTGCTGAATATACTAATTAGTTTCAGCTCCTTCTATCTCTTATCATTTTACAGGTTATATACCTTTCCCTTTTTGCACTTACTATTGTTATTGCCATTGCTGTTGTTGCTGTTACTATGCAAATGCAAATGAAATTGGCTGTGAAGTGAATAGCTAATGAGCGCAGCTCTTGTGTCGAAACCCTGATTGACATGTTCAGGGCATAGCTGTATCTTGCACACGACTTCACTTTGATAGTTGGAATTGCAAGTCAATTGAATTACCTGACTATATACAGGTTGATAAACCACCTAATTGGCTTAAGTTAACGTATACTAAAATTACTAGAGAATAACTCAAATATTGTGTATGTAATTCGTTTGTAATTGTAATTGTGAGCTTACATAAATCATTGACAACGTCGAGTTGTGGAGTTAACCGAGTTCGAGACGCTGAAGGAATAATTTACTGCCTCATTTCTACACTATTTATACAAAAATATTGTAATTTATTGGATCTTGATAAAAATGACGAATAAATATTAGACCTGTCAGTTTTTCCGTTTAATAGAAAAATCAAAAGCTTACAACATGGCGTATGATAAATAATCAAAAACTACAACAACAAGAAAATTACGAAGAAAGTTCATCTTAGGCACGACAAAAATTACATACCCTTATATATACTATATACTGTATTACGATGTTGATTATTTTTTGTCCTAGCTTGAGGAGCACAATAACACGCAAAACTTATGAGTTTGATTAGGAAAGTTTCTTAAACAAGAAACCGACAGACGGACACGGCTATATCGACTCGGCGAGTAATGCTAATCAAGAATATATATAATTTATGTAGATGCACTAGAGTCATTACAGCAGAATGGTAATACCCTCTACAAGTTTTAATAGCTCTTCCAAAACAAGTTTTTAATGCATCGTCATGTTGAACATCACAAAAACAAATGATAGTCAAATATATAGATATTTACGGCTTTGCACGCCCAACAATAGCACTATTTCCGGTATCCACAAAACACCACAAGAAATGTTATCAAAAAGGCCAAATGGCAATTTGGCCCAGGCTCATAAATCATTTTGCTTGCTCTAAGTGCACATTAACAATGAAAACAGCCAAACTACATACAAATATCTATGTAGATATGTATGCTGAAAATAGAAACGAGCCCTGAACCTGAACCTGAACCAAAACTGGTGACACATGATGAAAAGACGATTTGGCCAAAGTGATAGAGAGTGTGAAAAGTTATACAAATGACAGCAAACAAACAATAACAACAGAAACAACAACAACAACAACAACATTTTGTGACTGAACACGTGGAAAACAATAAATCTGCCATTAGGTTGAGCGCCCTTCATTAACGGGTTTCTGGCCCAACAACAACAACAACGTATACACAATATTCAGTTTGGACAAGTTGACAATAATGCACACACACACACACGCACACACACACCCACATACACACGCACACACCAATATGCACACACAAATACAGTCTGTCAACATATCATGCACCTTTCCTGAAAGAATTTGCGCAAAATATTTTAAGCCACATTTTGACAAAGGACTTAGGCCCAACAACTACTGCAAAACTTTAATGTAGGGGTTTTCGGGGAGGTGCTGTTGGAAGTGGGCCTGCAGCGTGTCCATAGGTTGCCTCTGTGCAAATATGACAGCCATTGTTATTTTGCGTAGAGAACGGAGCTTATCTCTGCGTTTACCGCTACATATTTTCCAAAACAAACAAGCGTGGCCTTTCAGTCTAAAAATGGATTATGCAACAATGTTGCAACGCATAATTAGTTGCCACAAAATGTGCTGAAGCATATATACAGTAATTCAATTAGTATTGTAAAATATTATTAAAGATTTTATGAATGCGATTTTAGTAAAATGTTTTACCATTTCTTCCCACACAATTTGATTTTTTTAATGAATAGTTTATCGATTGAATTGTATTCATTTATTATTAAAGTTTTCGGTTCTCGGTTGTATTATTAGTTTTTCTTTATCATTTTGTATCTGCATATATTGAAACATATTATATTAATTTTATATTAAACTCAATCAGAGTTTTAGCTTTTTTTTGTCCTTTTTAATCTACATGAATCGCAGTATCTACATGTAAACTGAATATAGAATAATTATTTTATTTTAATCCCCACAACAATTATATAATAAATATAAGCAATGATGTAGTCTAATGAATTGGTTATAAGCGATTGAAAAACCAACAACAATGTGTTAGAATTGCTATTAAGCATACCGTTTATAATCTGTTAAGCCTTCTTAACACCACAGCAATCAATACACGTGAAACCTGTCCAACAAGCTGAGATATGTTAGCAATTCAAACCCTTCCATAACCCAACAAGAGGAACCCTTCTATAATTCAAACACAAGCGCGTCGCAATTGACAAACCAATTGACAAGTCACTTAATTGTGGCATTCACCACAAAACATGTTAACGTTAAAGTGCATTGGGTTAAGCGGGCAGTGAAAATGTTGTAACTGGGGGGACCCAAAATACAGTTAAGGGTTGCAGCAAACCAACCCCCAAAATGCTGCAGGCGCCACTCATCAAGTTGCCACACAGAGACAAGCAAATAAGGGGCAGTCAGGCAGCTGCTTTCAGCTTTCATAATTTAAATTTAGCATCGCAAACAATTACAATTCTTAAAAGTAAGTTAATTGTGCTTGTGGGTTAATTATGTGTATGATTGACAAGCAATTGAAACTGGCAGACACTTGTAAGCCAGGCACAAGGTTATTGGCCACTTTGGGGCGCCACTTGATCCTGTACAGCACCAAAATTGCATTTGAATGCAATTCAAACTCTGATTACCCCAAAGGGGTTACTTTCCACATAGATGGATAAATGTGTGTGTGTGTGTGTGTGTGTGTTGGGAGTGTGCGACCGCTGCAAGTTGGGTTTGTGTTGTGTTTTGGTAATTGCTTCACACAATTTCTACATCTATGCTAATTTACCAGCTGAAAGCGAAATGAGATTTTTTGGCTTTGTCCACCAGTTTGACAATGAACATTTTTTTGGATGGGTGTTTGTGGGTGGGTTAGGCAGATTGAGGATTGACGTTGGAGTTGGAGTTGGGGCTTAATCGTCTCGGTTTCTGTGTATTGTGTAACTGTGCGAATGTTCACCACGCATTATTTTCATATGTCTGCCTGTCATTGGGAATGAATCTGCGGCAGTTATGTTCTGGAATTGCTTCTCTGGTTTTGTCTGTTGTGGCTTTTATCCGAAATTGCTTTTTTTTGGGCAGGGGGGGAGGTATCCAGTTTCGCGAGTTTATTGTGTGTGACAGACACACACACACACACACACGAGCACACACACAGCAATAACAACCATGATTGTGTTCATTTTGCCAGAGGGGGTAATTTGGGGTCTGTAACTTCATTTTGAGCATACACAATCGCTCGGACAAGAGATAAAATTCTACATTTTGGTGCTTATCCCATTTACACAGACTTAATAAAG